CAGTGTCACCCATCACCCACCAAAAAAAAACTGAGAGGCGGCCGCCTCTCGATTACCCCCATCGCCACGTAACTGAATGTGACCTTCTACCGACAATTGAACATCTCGCACTCTAATGTGCCAAATACAATATGATGAACGAAGCATTTTAAAGCTCCCCACCAATATCAAAAAAGCATTTGGGGACGTTGGGGTGACCAATACCGATGCGATCTTTAATTTTTTCTATGCCACTAAGTTATCCAACTTATTTTAAGCTATTATTTTAAATACTTTCTTGTATATAACTATATATAAATACTTCTAAACTACTATATTACTCATAACTTAATCAATTTTACATTTTTCAGGCTAATGACCACTGATATTGAAGCTTTTAATTTTTGTAAAAAAAATCTTAATTTAAAATAAGATGTTGGTATTAGTGAATTTGTAGACATGTTTATATTCGTACCTAGAGTTTTTTCCAGCTTGTTCTTTTTTTACCTTTTTAAATGTATTTTTGAGGAAATATCAATATTTTTTTTAACTGAAGATAAAATAATCTAATAAAGTTTTGTTTTATTGTTATTAACATTTTTTAATTGATCTTTATTTCATTAGCTACTAGATAATTAGTTTTAATTTACATTGTATTTATAATTTATGCTTTTAATAAGTTTTATTACTCGATTTCTTCTGATGAAGATGTTTATTTTTGATCAGGTTTTTCGCATAGTGTATATGGTATGTCTCATATTGTGGTGTTTGTTTCTTGAGTTTCTTGTGTTCTTAAAYTTTGAGTATTTGTTCTTGCGAGGATTTGAATGGACCGTTTAATAGTGATTTATTCAAAAGAGTTTTAACAACTAAGTCTCGTTAGTAAGTTTTAATTTTGTTTTTTGGATTTCTGATAACTTTGATCCATTTTATGTTCAATGATTCTAATATGCGTATATATAGTTAGGCATTACCTACTGAATGTATTTTGGATTATATAGTATATACTTAATCGGGGCAATAGCTATAGTTTATTTTTAGGTTGTGAGTTTCTTCAAAACATCCTTTTGCAGACTCAAGAATTTTKTCGAGCATATTAATATTATTATTTATTATTTTAATCATCATCAATCATTATTTTGATGAGTAATCATAACGGATACACCAGCTGTTTGGTATTATACATTTATATTTTAATTAATACTATTATTAATTTATTATTTTATAATATCATTAAGGCTATTTTTGTAAAATCTACAACTTAAGAACCCATAGAACTAATGGTTAGAATGTATGCCGAATGTTCTTGTCTAATTTTACRGCTGCGTGAGCATATGCAGTAAGAATTTATAAAATTATCAACATTTATATCCCCACCCTGACCTCCACCTTAATTACGCAGGGTACTTATAGTAAGTATTGCACGCACGGTTGACCGTTGTATTCACGTTGTTTCACAATAACACAATACCCTTGTTCTGTTTTTAAAWATAAAAATATATAAGTACAGATATTAAATTATATTTACTTACGAATCGTTGTTAGTAACATTTGAGTTGAAAAAAATTGACAGAAGAGATATCAATAAACGTCTATCATTTTCATCAGTTACTCGACCACCATAATTACATTCACCAATTAAATATAGTAATGCATCGTATGGAATTTCGTCGTATTCGTTTAGAAACATCTAGATTTTATTTGTTTTAATTTTTACTTATCATAATTAAATTATATAATACTATATAAAATATAATGTTATCAATACGTTTAACTGTATCACACTGATTTGAAAATCTGAGTCGTTAAATTCATATGGAATATTCCAACCAAGTGATCCAAACTTCCGACGTTCTTGAATGATTCCATGAAAAAAACAGAGTGAAAATAGTAATGTTTTCAAACCTAAATTGTTCTTACAACCGAGGTAGAAATCGGGATCATTAATAGGGTTAATTGCATATGAGCGCAATAAATTTGCACCAAGGCCTTTCGGAGCTTCATTTATCATTTTAACTCCTAGTTTTGAATTTAATAAGTTATAAAAATAAACAATTTCTACCATTGATTTTGAATTTACCGTTCTGTAGTATAGATACAGGGAAATCATCACATGGATAACTTGTAAGCCATAGACGGAATGACTCATGTGTACGACTGGGTATTATATCTTCATCACAAATACGATCAAGTTCTTTCATCCAGTTAGCAGCCAAATGACAGTTTTGTAACACAACCCATTGACCTGTTTCTATACCTGATTTTATCATGTTTGCAGCTATTGGACCCTACATATACATAAGTTATATTCTCATAATAAATTATAATACTATCAACACAAACAATAATAATTATAATTTATATTACCTGTCCTTGACCAAGCGAAACGGTTATTAAATCAGTTGGACTATTTTTTTTATCCTTAGAAAATTTTATTAAGCTCGACATTGGATCTGTTCCCGGTGATAGTATAAAAATCAATGGAGTACAACAACTTGAGTCCTTGTATGAGTCCGCCAAGTCAAATGACGGCGGATCGACATATTTCTGACCCATACAGCTAATAATATATTGCTAAATATAATAAATTTAAAATGTCAATTAAGTAATTGAACATGTATACATTAGTAAAATAAAATATATACATGTATAGCTGGAACCACTTTGTCGAAACGAATACACTTTATAATTACAAGCTTTTCCAAGCCATCGATATTTTCAAAAGGCTCAGGAATAGGCATGTCTTGTGGGTTATTTGAATCATACCATGTGTTCCATTCATCATTTGAATTAATAATTGATTTGTAAAATTGATTCAATCTAAAATTAAAACTCAATGAAATCAGATTATTTTAATTTTAGTAAAAAAATTATTATTATAATTTTATATATTTTAATATCTTCACTTTTTTACTTATTAAATACTGGAAAGTGTATAAGTACTATGGAATAATTTTAATTGGGAATGGTCAAATGAATATAATAAAACTGATTAAGAAAACTTAAATAAGATTTATTTTATTCACGATTCTATATATTTATCTCGTTATGTTCTACTACGAAAATTATAAATTCTATAAATAATTTAAATGATTCAACAACTTATTTTGAATAGAATATCATTTACCCAATTAAATGTTAAAAATTATAGATACTATTATTTCAGTCACTATCGCTTTATTATTAACCATTCAACTTAAACTGCAGTTTTTCCTCTATTTTAATAAATCGATCATTATTCCGTTACATAAAGCTGAAGATAAAAAAAAAATAATTATATAGGTACCTATCTCATTCACTCTTTCTTTAATCTTTATCAAACATTTTCAAAAATCCTTATGGAAAAGATTATTGGACTTCCTAATTCTTAATTTTGTAAGTACATACCTAAATTATTTAGGGATAATTTTTAGACCTACCTATCTTATTCATAATGCAGTTGAATTAGGGTAAGTTAAATTTTTATATATATATATATATGATATTATATATATTTACTAGATGAATCCGAGCACTTCATAGCCAGTTAAAGGCCTACCTCTTAAATGCCTCAAACTGTGTGTTAAATTCGCGCGTTATCTGTGATCATGCTAGCAGTATTTTTTTTATACATGTAGATAGATCATAGTTAAAATAAACTAAGGTCRGAATACGAGCTTCAGAAACAATCGAGCTAAGAGATTATGAATGATTATTAGGCCTGTCAATTTTTTACTAAGTCTATCTTCTGCTGCCCATAATCCTAATATATCTCTGTATACTAAATATYATCGCAATCGGTCCAGCCGTATAGGAATGCATAAAGAACAAACAAACAGACAGAATCCATTTATATATTATATATATGCATGAGTGGATCTAGAAACAATACATGGGGAGGACGGAAGGGTAGTAAAAATAATAAAAATACCTGGTGGTMAGTGATAACAGTACGACAATCATAATCAGCTAATACCTATATATATTAGGTATATATTTATAAACATAAGCAGATTCTATGGAGTGTTTACCCACGTAATATATTATTATGTATAATAATAAATCATATAATAATATTAATTATTATTAATAATAGTAAATATGAATATTCATACCCTATTTTTTGCATTAGGTACTGCAATTGATTATAAAGACATTAATATTTCAAAATATATTACGATTGCAACCATTATTAATAATTACAATAATTCATACTTTTAATTGTTGGTACTTTGGGTGTCAAAAGTAAAAAATTCTAAATAATCGGGATAAACAAACAAAAAATTAAGGGTAAAACRGGAAATTTTACACACAATCAGTTTTCGACAAAATCGATTTTGGTTTTTGATGTAACTTTAAAAAAAATGAAAAGTTTTTCAATCTTTATCACAAATCAAAATTCCACCAGAAATTCAAATTAAATTTTTATGAGCATTTGGAATTTAAATTTTTACAATATTGGATTTTCACTGGATTTCACATTTAGCGATTTTCTTTTTTGGAGTAACTCTAAAAGTCTAAAACAAATGACCGCAGATACTTGAAATTTTCACTGAATGTTAATATAGGCATTTTCTATATTTGATTAAATTAAAAAAAAAAAAAATTTATTTTGAGCTGTTTACTGACATTTTAATTTTTCAACTTTTTAGTTTTTTTTTCTATAAATATCGATAAAAATGTATTTGTTCGTTAGAAAAGCTTGAAAATTTAATACAAGGCTTCTAACACATTTTAACAATATCAGTTGAAAAATAAAAGAAATACATTGGCACAATTTTTTTTTACAAGCATTCAAAGTTTGAATTCTGACAACATATGTAAAAATCAAGAAAATCACGAAAATTCACAAATTATTTTAAACTAGAAATTCATAAAAAWTTTTCTTTTTWAATYTAAGATTTGAAAATTTTTAATAATCTATAATATATCCTAGACAGATAAACCGCCTTCGCTCAGTTTTCGTATACAATGATATAATATCATTGGATTCAAATTTAATTCCATCCATTACAGTAACTCACTAGTAACCTACTGTACAGTAGAGCGACATCCACGACTTACCTGCCTTTTTTTATATTGACCAAGTTCATTTTTATGCTTTTATTTATTTTTCAAATTATAATTTCAACTAGTAAATTATTATTTAAAAGCAGGTATTTGAAAAAAATCAATTGATAAATATATTTAAATACCTTAAATTTTTTAGATTTTGATAGAATTATTTAAATATATATTTGAAATACTTTTGAAACGTATTTTATCAAACTCCTATGAATACCAAAGGAATAAAATATTATACTTAAATAAAATAGAAAACATTGCAGCACTTATTTTTAAATTTATATTCACAATAAGAAATATATAAGAGTTAATTACCAACATATTATCAGCAATTAGTAAGAATTAATATAGATCTCAGAGAAGTAAATTCATGAGCCGGTTTTTTCTGTTGGCTTTCATTGCTACAAATAGCTACAAATCTTTTCTTTTATACAAATTTCGAAAAAATACAGTAAAAATCTATATTAAATTCTTTTGTGAGTGTTTAAAAAGGGCCAAGTCAGCTTTTGAGTCTATAATTCTAAAACTTTTAAGATTTTGAACGAAGAAATGAATGTATTGATTTTACAATGATATGTGTTTTATTTTTGTGACTGTGTACACAATAAGTTGTAGAAATAATGCTTCGATTTTCAACTTCAGTAACTTTTCCAGTTGTAATGTGAATCTAGTTGGTGCATTGAAGAGGTCAAATTTTGAAAGTCTCAGTAGTTTTCAAAAGCACCAGGAAAAACAAAAAAAAAAAAATTAAGGAAAAACGGGAAGTTTTACGGAAAATCAATTTTTAAGAAAATCGAATTTTGATATTGTTGTAACTCTAACAAATTATCATAGACACATACGATTTTCACTGAAGGTTTATATACTGCCACTTTATGAGGTTATAAAATAGCAGTAGAAAAATATTAACAATGAATTGGCACGTTTTTTTTTTTTCATTTAAAGTTCAAATTTTGACAAAATGTATTTAATTGAAAATTTAAAAATTTTTTAGTTGTTAAAAATCGTTTAACTTTTACAGCTAAGGATTGAAAATTTAAAACAAGGCCCCACGTTAATCCTCCTGTGGCAAAAAATCTGAAAACTATACAAGAAGTACAGTTTTTTTTATAGTTCAAATTCGGATGACTATTACATAATATTAAATAACCAAGAATTACAATTTTAGTTAAATTGTTGTGATTTAAAAATATTATTCGTGGGTACTTAAAATTTCTAGAATTAACTTAATATTCCGATTGTAATAGTTAATGCCATTAATTACTTATCTTAATACTCTATAAGGAATTTTACATAATATATGTGTCTATGAATGACTGAATGAGTAGGTTACATAATGAATCTGATTTGATTAGTCCACTTTTTTTTTTAAATTATAGCTATGTAATTAATATACTATAAGTCTATAACATATCCTAGACTGACAAACCATCTCCGCTCAGAATCGTTTTAACATATGTATACGAGTAAATCACGAAAATCACGAAAATTCGCAAATTATTTTAAACTAGAAATTCATAAAAWTTTTTCTTTTTTAATTTAAGATTTGAAAAWTTTTAATAAACTATAATATATCCTAGACAGATAAACCGTCTTCGCTCAGAAGCGTTTTTCGTATACGATGATAATATATCATACTGTATACTTCACGAGTTGATAGGTACCTCGAAACTTTTGCTATCATGAAAATATTAGCCACGYAATTTTTTGTTTTTAATAGGTCAAAAGTTGATACTACTTATAATACATTATATACATTCATCCGCCGTTAATTATTTCTATTAACCATTGGAGATGCATTTATTTTATATAGTATATAAGTATATAATATAGTTATTTTTGAAATCTAAACAATGTTAGTGTTATTTTGTGAACGTTAAACCTTAAAAATCAATCTCTCGTTCAATTTTCACAATAAAATCTTAATCAATTTTATTAGTCATTAATGCAAAATCTTCTGAGCCTAACCAGTAACCTAAAATAACCTTGATAATTAAGGGCTATTGATAATTACTAATTATTTTGCAATGAATTACCTATATTAATTACTTTTTACCTTGGTAATTGAGATGCTCGAACGATTTCAGCCCATGACTTGTCACTCAGCCAATTAGAAGCTGGATTGGGGTGCTCATTAGTTATCCCAACTCCATCGCTAAGGAACATTGTAAATAATTCATCGTCGAGTAAATTCTGTAACATAAAAATAGTAAGAATGAATATATTTACGTACCTATTTTTATACATTTAATTATAGTTTTTAACAAATTATTACCTTAGACCGAAAAATTCCAATTGTTAAAATAAATGAAAAAATCAGTTTATCTTTTTCAAATAAAGATCTACAAACGTTTCGGTAAATGTTATAAGTAAAATAATCATTCAAAATACTTATTCTTTCATTGATATCATTTGATTTTTCACTTTGTGCAATTGACTGTCACACAAAATATTGCAACAACRTATTAGGTAGATATCAATTATTATTTATTATGATGTACCTACCTAAAATAAATAATAATGACTTACCTGGTAGTATAAGCGTATAAACCAATCTAATGAATATTGGTACATTGGATCGATGTTATTTAGATCAGTAATACAAAAGAATAAAACTGAAGAGTGATTAGATACAGGAATATAAACATCACGAGCTACATCAATTTCTTTTTCAGTTACAACAGCAATTTCTTGTTTCAGTTGAATTTCAGATGATAATGACTATAAAATTAGTTATATTTATATAATGCAGACTACATATTACTTAAAAAAAAGTAATTTAAATACTTTTGATGAAGATAAAACTTTTATTGCTGATTCATCCTCTAAAATATTTCCTTCAGACGAAGAGAGAACATATAAAATTTTGTCCTCAATTTCCTTAAGTAGCTTATTATTATTAGCACTTTCAAGTATCAATTCATTTTTCTTTTCCTCCAACTGCGGTCGTTCTTTGGCAACAACAATCCCTAGCAATTGGTCTTGCAGTCCTTGCTGCGTGATCATAAAGTTTAGTATTGTTACCTAAATAATACAGGCACATTTACTCCYTTATAATTTAATAAAATAATAATAAATAGTTAGGTTTTATTTTATTTTATTAAAAATTAACAAAATATAAATTTATATTAAATAATATTTAATAAATATTATTTATATATCTAGACAGTTAAGTGAACAGAATTTTATTTATTTAAAAAATTTGAAAATACTTAATATGAATACATTTTAGTTTCTGACCGGAGGAACAAAAGCTTTAATTTTAAAATGTTGACTTTTAAATTCTGAACGGAGCGATGAATGTACTGATTATACCATGATGTGTGTTTTTTTATTTGTGTCTGTCATCACGTTTTGGGACAGTAAAAATGCTTCGATTTTTGACTTCAGTATCCCGTTCGATCAGAAAGTGAATCTAGTTGATACTTTGGGGGATCAAAAGTAAACATTCTAAATAATCAGGATAAACAAACTATAAATTAAATTTTTATAATCATTCAAAGTTTGAATTTTTACAAAATACGTAAAATTCATAAAAGTTMGCAAATTATTTTAAGCTAGAAATTCATAAAAAATGTTCTTTTTAAATCTACGATTTGAAAATTTAATACAAGATTCCTTACAAGTTTGTCAATCTTTATCACAAAAAATACGTCCAGCGGAAATTCAAATTAAATTTTTATGAGCATTTGAAATTTAAATTTTTACAACATTGGATTTTCATTGGATTTCACATTTAGGAATTTTCTTATTTTGATGTAACTCTAAAACAAATGACCGCAGATACTTGAAATTTTCACTGAATGTTTATATATCATTTTCTATATTTCAATATTTGATACAATTTTCAAAATATTTAGATTTGTTTTTAGCTGTTTACTGACATTTTAAATTTTGAACTTTTTTAGTTTTTTTTTTCTTTAAATAGGTATCGATGAAAATTTATTTGTTGGGTAGAAACGCTTGAAAATTGAATACAAGGCTTCTAACACATTGTAACAATAGCAGTTGAATAATATTAAAAATGCATAGGCACGATTTTTTTATAAGCATTTCAAATTCAAATTTTGACTAAATACGTAAAAATTACGACAATGTTAAAATTATCTTAGATAGAAATTCATAAAAGTTTTTCTTTTTAAATCTAAGATTTGAAAATGTAATACAAGACTTCAAACATATTTTTACAACAGCAGTTGAAAATAAAAGAAATATATAGTCACAATTTTTTTTTAATAAGTATTTAAAGTTCAAATTTTGACAACATACGTAAAATCACGAAAATTCGCATATTATTTTAAGCTAGAAATTCTTTTTAAATCTAAGATTTGATAATTTTTAATAATCTATAATACATCCTAGACAGATAAACCATCTCCACTCAGAATCGTTTTTCGTATACAATGATATAATATCATTGGATTCAAATTTAATTCCATCCATTACAGTTACCCACTTGTTACCTATTGTACAGCAGAGCAACATCCATGACATACCCGCTTTTTAAAGTATTTGGAGCTAGGAATTGAATATTTTATACAAGTCAGTTCTACAATGATATATAATATAAAATATTTTATGCTAGTCTACTAGGTACTTGGTACAAATAAATAACCAATATTCAATGGTATAACAAATATTATAATCTCGACTAAAAGTAATTCAAACTACCATCATATATGATAATATAGGTATTAATCATAGTAAAATAAATTACAATAATAGATGGTAATATTTATGCGTGAACTAAAATATACTTTGTAATTATTAATTGAGGCTGAAAGGATATCTCTGCTCAGAATCAGTAGATTTAGTAAAATATCTACTTAATGCCGATGTAAACTTCTACTGAACGTGAAGGTGGTTACCTAATTACTCATTTTTCTAAATTTAGTTAGCCATTGTCTAATTTACCAACGTTATGAAAATTAATTATTATTAATATTGACTTTTGATCTAACACAGTGACATCAGTTGTTGATTTTTAGTTACCTAGTCAAAAACACATACTTTTACAGAAATATCTGGTAAATAATGAGGATTTCGAAGACGTGTTGTGATGTAAAGTCTAAACGAGTGATTATATTTCAGCAAACTATCACTAAATTTCAAGTATTCAATTCCATCCTCTTTATAGATATTTCTTAGTAGTACTTGGTCTATGAAAAGTCACAAAATATAAAATAAGTAAATAAGTTCAAAGTTTTTTTTTATTTTTCATATTCTGTATGATATTATAAAAGTTAATGAATTTGTAATCATACCAAGTGTAGCATCTATGTCTTCTTGTATATCTTCTAAAAGAACCGGTAAACCATGTTCAATTGCTAATCGTATGGAAGTCATATAGTTAGAATTGGACAGTTTAACTACTGAAATATTGTTTGAATTTTCCATAGTTTTTATCCATTTATTCGCTTGACCTTGGGGATCAATCATTAGAGGCCATCTCGTAGCACTAAATACGATGATCCCATTTTCAACAGAAAAATTATCCGCTGGAAGTCCAAATATATTCCATTCCCGAATTAATAAAGGTTCTCCTAACGTATGTATCAATGAAAATTGTTTTGAACATGGAATATTCATTTCTAAGCATCGTTGGTTCCATTCATCAATAAGTACCTGAAAAGTAATTTTGTTTTTCAATATAAATATTTAAAAAAATAAAATCTTAAGCATTACTTTGTTGATCCAAACTAAACTTGCAAAATTTTCAATTTGTAAAAATGTAGAATTTAATTAAAAAGACATTGTAAAATGATTTTTAGAATTCGTAAGTTCCTCAGAGCTAAGTTGAGACCGAAATAAAATTAAAGGTTAAAGGAGAGGACGAATTCGCACAAATCATCTACACTTAATTAACAAATCATAACTTTCAGAGCTTGTCTTTAAGTTATTTTATGTCGCTGTTGGAATTTCTAAGTTTAACAATTAAAAGCTATTGGAAAAATTAACTAAAAGGAAATTAAATGCACATGAACCCTTCTTGTACAAATTGCACCAGAGTACTTAGTATCCAACTCAATTAACTTATAACTACTTACAAATAAAGCTATTCGTCTGGTGCAATTTGGACAAAGTCGGAGGAGGGCTAACTTCACACAAATACCTGGTGTAGTAATAATATACTCAGAGTAAAATTTCACAATTTCACTAACATTTCTAAAGTCAACGGTAAATGCCCCAAGGTAGGCGACGACGCCTGCAGATAACAATACATCACCAATAGCGTTATCTAGAATTGATTTCAATTCTAGAGCTGTTTGACTCCATTTATATTTTTCTCCACTGAGACCACTAATTAATTGTTCAGCTCTAGTCAGTTTTTGAGAACACAAATCAATATTATCTTCCAATTCTTTTTTCTCTTTCGTTTTTTCCGCAAGTTCATCTCTCAATGTTTGAAGCTTGCTCAAAACCCCCGAAAGTTCAGCTCTTTTTTCATTAAGTTTTTCCATTTGTACAGCATAGTCCGTTTCCGCTTGCTGAAGTTTTTCTTTTTTAGGTCCGACAATTTTTATTACTTTATCATAAACATCTAACGCTCGTATCCATTTACAAAGGCCTTCACATGCATTAGAAACTGATTTGATACTAATTGGATTGAAGTCTGGATCACTAATATATCTGAAAACAAATCATGCGTTTATTTTTGCACACAACACAAATTTAAAAAAAAATACTTTTCTCTTATACGTTTCATAACTGCAGGATCTATGTTATCTTTATCGTATGTTTTTAAACTCTCTAAAAATTTAGTATCTGAAATTAGTTTTTGTGAAGGTCCCCAAAAATCTTCAACCATTCGCCCAGAGCCACTAGGATCTGGTTTACGTTCAGATTTGATTCCTTTCATAACACAAACTGCTTCTAATACTAACTTAACACCATATGGCGGATTTTTCATAGATTTGACTACGGTAATATCGGCGGGCTTGAGAGTATTTAGAGCTGAAACTGCAGCTTCGAGGGCTGGTATTGCTTCAGCTAAATCACTTTCACAATCATCTTTGATAGCCTGTGATGCTGCTGCAGCGTCATTGGCAAGGGCTTCATCGGCGCCTACTATCTAAAATATATTATTAATAATAATTACAGAGTATCCTAAAAAATAAATTATTTTATTTTATGAAGTAATTACTTCTTTTTTGGCTTCTACTTTTACTGTATCTTGTTCAATTTTAACCATAAGAGCTTCAGTTGCCAACGAAGTTTCGACAAGTTTTGGTCTTAAAGCTGTCAGTTGATCTTGCATAACAGATACTTGGCCAGCAGCAAAATCTAATTTTTTTAAGCCGGTTTCATATCTATTTCGCAAAGTTGTGATTTGATCTACCTTCTTTTTATGTAAATTTTGAAACGTTTTTATTAACTCTAAATAGGAAGTTGGTGTAACATAATTATGCCTTTTTAACGCTGAATAAAACCTAAAATATAATATTTAAAGACAATTTTATTATTATTAAGAAATTGAAAAATAAAAATAATCAAACAATTATTTTAATAATTATCCAATATTTAATGTAGTCATTAATCATTATATTATAAAACGTTTAAATGAAAACATTTACCTAGAAGAAGCATCTCTAGCTGTCGTATGAAATTCTTTACAAACTAATACACAAGATGATGCAATATCACTGTGAATAGACATATCTTTTAAATAATATTCTGCAACTTTCTCAAGTGCGTCTTCAGGCCAAACTGTAAACCTATAATTTACAAATACAATATGCTTACATTAATCGAGTTTTATTCCAATACTAAATTATACGATACCAGTCAATTGTACAACAGTTAACGAGTGAAGGAAACATTCTCAAGCGATTTTTAAGCACATCACCAATTGGTGACATAGCTAAAGAAAGATGAAAGTTTTCTTTCACTCTTTCTATAAAGAAATTGTATAAAGCGATTGGTGTTGTTTCAACGTTTAACCCCTGTAACAAAAATTGCATTTGTTTTAAATTAACGAGTTATACATTTGGTATGTTTATTAGTTAAAAATAATATTCTAATTTCAAGTTAGACCTCTGTATATAAAATTATGCATGTCTATGAGTAGGTAAAGCAGTAGATACCTACTGAAAACGTATAGTCCTAAAAAATAAAAAAAATAATTAAGCATAAACGGATCGTACTGCATGAATTAAAAAAGGTTAAGAGAAAAGAGATAAACTTTTCAAGGTATTATGAAAGCTTCAAACATTGATAGATAGACTATAGTGCTTAAGTAGATTTTGAATAGACAAATAATTTTAAACTACATATATATTAATAAATATTATTAGAATTTGAAGGCAAAAGCGTTTTTTTAATAAAAATAATATAAAAATGTGTCATTTAATATTTAAGATGATGGATGTATTATTTTTTTTTTTTCCTTTTTTATTATAAATGCCTTTATCTTATATTTTTAATGGATGTTAGTAGTTTTATACATGAAATACGATACAAATCGATATGATCTCTCGAAGACTGTGCATTGTTAATTATTTGTAATGAGTTTTATAATCGGTGATATTTATCGATTTCGCTAAATAGTTTATTGAGCATTTCTGTACGGTCAGTTAATTTAAAGCTTATAAAAGTATCCATATTGCCTATCCATAGTTTAAAAAATGTTCATAATGCATTGATATTAGGATCAAAATATTGTTTGTCAGTCCGCATTCATCGATCGTAACTTATATATATGATATAATAACATTAATTGGATTCAATAATTGAAGAAACGCCAAACGATTACGATTTAATAAATAGTAATCTGAATATGAAATACGCTCCATTAACCTCGGTGAACGAAGATTATATTAAGATTATTTTCCATACACAAATATATTTTAAGACTAAACCGTCAAGTTGGTATTTGGAAGTGAATTTTTTTTAATACAAACTAGTTGAAATATACAATATAGGTACCACTATATTTCATTTTTTAGTAAATTTTGTAATTGCTTTTTATATAAATCCAATGCTTATTTATGCGTTTTTTGACATTTTGAAATTATTTTTTTATTGATTATATTGCCTTTAAATCTGAATCCTATTAATAAACCTTACTGAATGTTGAGCATAATACGACTATTTAAAATCATTTTAAATGTATCATATTCATCTCATTGTCTTAAACAATAACTGATACACTTACAAGGGTTTGAGCAATATTGGATACTTTATCTAAAATATCAACTCTATCATCAGATTGATAAAGATTTGGTATATCACCAGTATTGAGTAACATATTTATATCTTCTACAAAACTTTCATCTGCAATTTGATTGTCAGATAAAAAAAATGTAATTGGATTTCCATCACATCCAGCATATTTTAATATTTTTTTCATATCTTCATTCCATTCATTTTTACCATAATTCCTTCCTGTTTCAATCTGAAAAAAAATTCACATTCCATTATTTCGTTTGAATATCTATATTTTTTTCATAATTTAATAAAGTAATACTTGAAATATTTTATAACCAGCAATAAATGTAGCCAACTTTGTAGCCGATTGTCTTCCACTACCACCTATTCCAACTAATAACAAATGACCGTTGTCTTGCTGTAGGACTCTACTTACACGAGACACATGTTCAATAACAAATTTAAACATAACCATTGATAATGGATTTTTAGACATAGTATTGTATTCATTTAAATAATAATCCATTCGTTGAATTAGTTGTTTTTCACTATGAACTTCGTCATATATTTTCTTATTAATATCCGGATCCATGTAGTTTCCATAAAATAGGTTCCGTAAATGATCAGTATTTAAAAATCTCTCCTCGACTGGCATTAAATCACTTAAATAAACGTCCATCGGTTGTCTTAAACAACTATAAGATGCTATTTTCATTATTTCAAATAGTTTATTACGATCATCATCGTGAACTAATCTATCACCAAACACACGCCATGTCTCATGAACCCACAGTCGAAATATTTTTTCAAGTGTTTTACACCGCGATGCTGGTAACAATAATATTCCTTTTATAACTCTGGTAAAATCTCGTAAGTTAAAGGTATAATGTGATTTTGCAGGAGTTGGCAAAAATGTTGAGACTACTTCTTTGTACACAAACAGTATTGCTTCTACAACACTCTAAATTAATTTTAATTAAAATACATTATCTTTGTTTTATAAAATTAAGAGCTTATACATTTCCTTGTAATGCGATAGGCTCAGAAAACCCTTTATTAAAATGCCATTTTATAATCTGAGAAAATATTTTGGACATAGTTTCTTGACTGAATGAATCAATACCAATAGCATTCATATGTCTAGTGAAACGAGTAGTAACTTGATTTGAACCACCACCAGGAGGTTGAAGTACACCAATAAATAACTGGAGATTGAAGAATACATTATTAAATAAATAATTGTAACATTAAAGTATTATAATACTTAATAATAAATTAAATAAACCCAACCATATCGAGCATATCTATTCTTGACATAGTTTGAAGATCATACCAATAACCATGATCAATCCATTGTCTTAATAATTCTATTGGTGATTGAGCACCATATTTTTCAGGTAACGGCATACTTAAATCATCTATAAACAACATACATTTTTTACCAACAGACGGACCAAAAACTCCTCTTCTTCGCCTGTATAGTTAATATTTTATAAGTTAATGCATTTTTCTAATAAAAATTACTACAGTTGATTTACTTGTCCAATTTAGAAATGATAATGTCTTGTACAATGTTAGCTGCAGTCCATGCTGAGAAACTTAATACATTAGCTAAACATTTTTCTTTGGGCAAATTAATTAAGTAATTCAGCACAACAACTGATTTCCCAGTACCAGTGGGTCCAACAAAGAGTAAAGGAATTTCATTTTTTAATAATATTTGGAGAAAGTAATGCTGCTTGGCTGTTTCATCAGTTTCGATGATCAAATCATTTATCTATAAAACGTATAAAATAAATACCACTTTAAAATTACTATTTTTATTCTAATTCTAATTAAAATATAAAATAATGATAGTAAGTATTAAATAATGTATTCACTCTGGCATCTGGTGAAATCCTTTTAAAATCTATTTTTTCTGACCATAGAATCCAAGAACCATTATTTTTCTTATCATACACATAGTCATAAACTGTACCCATATCTGGGAAAAGATGGGTTTTTGTCAACTTAAAAGTAATTGGTTTAATATATTTGTCATTATTTCCTAGGAGAAGTTTCCGTAAAAATGTATCAAATTTATTTCGACAATCGCCTTTTATTAAAGAACCAAGACTCCATATCAAACTAAAAATTATTACACATCCCACCCATATGGTTGCAAACCCAACTCCAGTTTCTTCTTTAATCAAACAATCCAATAACCTTGTAAAAGACTATAAAATACATTATATATTTATATTTAAATTACATAGGTACGTAATTAAAAATACACTACTTACGTTAAACATATGATTTTCAGAAGTAGTTAGAAATAAACTACAGTGTTTTTGTATAAAAACAAATATGGCAGGKACCAACCACTCGATTAAGTCATCCATCATAATTTGTTGATCTAGCAAAAATTTAGAATAAATAGTATTTTTATACGAAAGCCAAAAAGATCTCCAACCAAGCTGCTTTGGTTCTAAATAAATCATTCCACAGCGAGATACGGTGGCAGGCGAAGCTTGATCTAAATTGGCAGGTTCAAATATCATGTTCATTTTGTTATTCATCTGGAAAAAAATGTTATAAGATAATCTAAATAATTAATACCTTGATCATAAATAAGAATTATATAGTAGGTGAAAAGTTGTTGATAAATTATATATACCTGTATAATTTCTCCAGACATTAGGCAAAGTTTTTTGTTATCATCCAACACTGTATTCATATTTTCAACCCATACTGCATCAACAGGCCCATCAAATACAATCCATTTACGATCCATTGTTACACTATTTGAGAACTCTCTAAACACAATTGCTAAAACTCCTAAAATAAAATAAAAGTATAAAAATAATGGTTTTATTATTTTAGTATTTTTTTAAATACAATTTATTAATTTAAGAGTATTAACCATCATGCCATTCATGCAGAACTTTATCAAATGATCCATACAATTGATCAATTGTAATTGCTTTAGGATTGATAATTTTATACGTGGTTTTAAATTCTGTCATTACTGCTTTGCGTTCGAGTTGTAAATCACTCAACGATTCTGCCAAGACCTTTAGAAATAAATAATCGTTATTCGTATTAATTCTTGTAAAAATACAAAATGTGCTAATATTATAACTAGTCATAATATAATAAAACAATTTATTGATTATAACCGATAAATAGCCAATAGCTAAATTGTAAGCTAGCTGATAAAAAATATAACAGAACTAGTATAAATATGTCCGTAGAATAGGTACTATTAAATTTTAAGTCATGATAACACTGACCTTAATAAGTACCTAATGCATTTACGATTTACTAACACTAACATAATTTGGATATAATAATAAATATTATAAGAAATATACCTGATAGGTACAAGTTTTTCCAGAAAATGGTTCACCAACAATCATAAGCCCGTGTCTAACCAACACCATCTCGTATACTTGTATTATTTTATCAATGAACCATGGAGTACTTTGTAAATTCCTTTTGCTTAAATTTATGTTTATTTTATTTATGAGTTCTTCTCTTTCTGGAATTATGAGTTTGACACCGGGGAATAAATCTCCATATATTCCAATAAAAAGTGGTATATCCTAGTAATAAATATCATGAAGTTAAATAATTTTTAAATTTATTAATTAGATAGTTCATAGATAGTGTAAAACCTCTGATGAAAATTTTGGCATATTGACGTCGTATATAGCTCTTAATACAATTTCATCTTCATTGTTATCGGGATATTTAAATTTTAAATTTCCTATTGATGTTAATACAGATTTTACTGCCCTCATCCCATAATCGTAATGTGATTGAGATGACAATTGTTCTGAACATAACTTGTACGTGTCTACAATTTTTTCAGCTAAACTGTAATATGATTATTTTATAGAGTTATCCAAGTTATTATCAAACGTAAACATTTATAACATACTTTTTAGCATCACTAAAACCCATAGAATATAATGATATTTCTCCAATCATAGAATAATCTGGTACCATCATAGCGACTGTACGGAATAACACTTTCAAATTATCAGGTATTTCTTGCTGTCCAGCATATCTATAGTTGTATGATTTTTTATTTTATTGGTAAGATTCCTACAATATAATTTGTTTATATTTCGTAAAAAATAATCTTACCCTGGGTTCATAGTTATGAAAACTGCACAAGTAAGATTTAATGTTAACTCTATGCCTTCAAACATGAATTTGTCCTTATTAGCTTTTACCGCCATTTGTATAATATATACTTGCTGAGCAATTACCGACAATACTTCAACTTCAATCCTATTGAATTCGTCGAAACAAGCCCATGCTCCGGATTGTGCTAATCCCTAATATGGAGATTACAATTTACAACTTACAAGTAGTCTTCAAAACGTCTTAAAATTACTTTCAATTAGTGCAATAATAATATATATACAGTAAATTAGTACAATCTGTGAAATTTAACATTCTTTATTTGGAACCTGAATAAAATGGAAATATAAGATAATATTAACCGAGCCTATAATATATTTTTAATAGGTACGTACATAATAATACCATGAGTAAGATGGAACATGTCTAACGTAGAAATTGAAATGATATTTTTTCATTCATCCATCCCGTACATCGACATTGTGGAATTTATAAACTATAGTAGGTATAAATAGCTTACTTCAACAGTTCAACACTTGGTTTTTGAATTAGGTAGTTTCAAATTATCTCAATTATACTTATACAGATTAGTAGATTACATTTCTCTTAGGTAATGTTAATGGCACCCGTACATTTTTTCTTTTGTGTAGTTTACCTACTCAGTGGCGTAGCTATGGAGGTTTTTGTTTGTTTAAACATTGCGAACGAAAAAATATTCTGAGCGGAGACTCAGAAATAAAATTTCGGAATTTCTCATGGCTATAAATAGCTCAACAATGTTAGCAATTATAACATAGAAAATATTAATATAAAATATATTTGGTGAAAATTTCAAGTGTCAACAGTTATTAGTTTTTTAAATACCTACATCAAAAAAATAAAATCAACTTTGTCAAAATTTGGTTTTGTGTAAAATTCCAATTATTTCATCATTATATTTTTTGTTTTTCCAAACATTTACGAAAACAACTGAGAATTTTTTTAGACATTCACTATCTATCAAAAAATATGATTTTCTCAAAAATTGGAGCGTTTTTAGTATCCCAAATATTAACAACAGAAAAAAAATACATCATTGTAAATACAGTACTTTTGATCACTATAGATACGCTCAAAATATTAAATAACAGAGCAAGATTGATTATTGTGATCGTATAAATATGTATGTATTACCATGTTATTCGTTGGCAAACTACGAAAATTACACATGACGTATTGACGTATCAATAAATTTAAAAGAGATCACACAATTCAAAATTGATAATATTATAGTGTCTTGATACGAACCATGAAAAATTTGCCTGTAGCTTTAAAATCAAGTCCTTTAGAACAATTAAATACAATACATTGCTTAGCTATTGCTTTGGCTAAATCTTTTGTGGTTTCGGTTTTTCCAGTTCCAGCTGGACCTTCAGAAGCACCACCGAGATATAATTTTAATGCACCCATAATTGTTCTTTTGATTAAAAACATTTTTTTTAATAAATTGAAACATTTCATATCAAGTTATTATTTTACCTGTAACATCGATCTGTCAACGGAGTAATTACTAATCTTGGTGTATTGCCTAAATATTCATTACCGTAGTCTAGAGTAGTTGTTATCATCGACACAGTAGTTTTAGAATCTTTATTATAATACCTAAGTTGACTCATCCAATTGAAATCTCTCATATTAATTATTCTTAGAGATGTAAGATTCTTAACAACATCACGAGCTTATAACATGAAAAGTAAAAATATTATTATTTAATGTCTTTCGTTAAAAATTGTTTTGTATACTGTTGCATATACGCTGCACTATAGGTACCTACGTTTAACAATTATTTTTTTAATAGCTAATTTGTAAGTACGGTTTTTGGAAAAATGTTGGCTGTAAAATATTTATTTAAGTCATATAGCTAAATTTTTCAARTAAAAAAATCTCAAATATTTTGTTAAGTCAAATTGATTCAGTCGTTAGAAATATTTTTAATTCAAAAGTGTGTATACTTTTCTTAATACACTCTTCTTAAATATTTCAAAATGTTTAAAAACATATATTTAAAAATCATTAGAATAAATTTCAYGAAGTTTTATAAAGCTTACTTAGATAAATATTTTTACAATCAAAAGGATTTCAAACAACTAGATTTAAAAGTTGGCTTTATTGGAAGTTTCGGTATTAAAAAATATTTTTTTTTATACGTGTAACGCACGATTAAATAAATGATATATTTATTATATAATATATATATATTTATATTTATGTATAATAAAAATAAGAATATTAATTAGAGTAAAAGTTTTTCATTTTTAGGTCTTCCTGTTACACCCTGTATATTATATATCTATAATATGTATAAATAATTAATATTGTGTTAAAATAATTACCGTGAACATCTATAACTATCAAAGCACACACCGTTGCCCTCTCGCATTTGCTTAATGAACCGCGCACTAAATTTACTAAATTTTCTATTTGCATATTACTTTTCTGTAGATAAGCCTAAAATTAATAAGACTTAAATTASTAACGCCTTAAGGTTGTTTTTGGTTTTAAAAACTTCTCTAACAGGAAGTGATTTCTTTTCAATAGCAGTTTCTACTTCAGCAGTCCAATTGATTGTTGCAGCACATATAACTACCATACCCGGCCACTTAAGTACCCATTCATTGCGTTTAATATTTGCATATTCTTTTGCTGCATTATTAATAATTTCGCTTATTGACTGCATCATTAAAACTTCAACTTGAATTAACCATTTTTCTACCAAACCCTTTAACATAACATTGATGATAAAGATTTTAATGCCACAAATGTATTTTCAACTATTAAATGATATGTATCCATATTATTGCATCCATACCTTAGCGTCAGCAGGATAAATTATTCCATTAAAGGCTACTACTTCACCGTCAGCTGATATCATTCCCACAATTTCTATGCTTTTTGTAAAGTTTAATTTATCTATGCCTTCGAAACATTTTTTAAGATGTGGTTGCACCCGTAATGGGTCTTTGGTTTCGGACAAAATTTCAAGAAGTTCATCGTTAGACAAAAAGAAAAATCTGTAATTGTCATTGATTGCCAATGTCAATGCCATAAATCATAATATCAAGAGTACCTATAATACCATACCGTGGAAAGAAAAGACGTTTTTTCTCCAAATACTCGTTCAAACCTTTCTGTATCTGCTCAAACATAACACTGCACTTTTTTAGTAATGACAACATGTTTGGATAGTCTGTAGCTTCGAGAACTTTACGGTTCTTAACAGTGTTAATCATAATTTGGCGCCAAATAGCATCAACGGCTCTAAAATTTCTAGCTTCTTCGGGCATCTGACGATTTATGTCTTCTGAACTAAATATTGGACCTAAATACATCCAAATCCCTTGCACCTACATACAATACTTCAATATTATCTATGTTTTTAAATGATTTTAATAAAACATTTTTTATCATCTCTATTCTATAATTCAAAAAAAAGGAAATCTAAAAATCTAAAAGTATAACATGTAGTTAACAATAGGTAATGTTTCAATTTCATAAGTTATTAATATATTTTATCAAAATACTAAGACTACTTCCAATATTGTATTTTCTTTGTTTTGGTTTTTTTTTAAAGTATGATTAAGTATTCAACTCACTTAAAATGTAAGAATATACCTAGGTACCTACTTGAATAACCATATTATAAATTATAATAATAGATACCCAAAGTGAAAAATTTAAAGTAAAATAGTTTGATCCAAATAAATATATAATAATTGTACACAATTCCTAAATAATTTCAACAAACAAGTATTATTAATGTGAATTTGGTTTACATTATAGCATTTTGAACTGAAAATGTTAATCTTAGTCAAATATCTTTATACTCTTATTATAGGTACCTATACGTATTATAACCATTAAATTAAAAATATTTTAAATAATATGTTTTTACCATTGATATGAAGCTGTACAACGAAGATAAATAATTATAACTAAGTTGATTTAATGTACCTACCTATATATTCCAATCGTTATACTTACAGAAATCCAGAGGTCTAGAATTTCTTGCATCAAAATTAATTTTTTTTCCCAGGTATCCATTTCTTCTTCAAAAGGTTTTATATAAACTGATCCATGCATTGTTTGAGCTTTCAGTATATGGTCATCTAACATAACCTGAATGTCATCTAACGCTGTTAATATGCTAACACCACTATCTCGATATGGAGTACATTCAAACTCAATGGTTAACCATTCTTCTTTCATTTTTCGAAGATTTTGTTCAAGTGAATATTCTCTAGATGCAATAACACTAATTTCTTCAAGTTTTTCAATATAATTCAGTAATCCAATTTCGATCATTTGAGACAAAGTTGATGAATCATTAAGATGTAAATCTACACCAACACTTTTGCTAATCTAATGAGCATCGGTATTTCATTATTATTTATTCATATTATATTATTTACAAGAATATTACCTCTGTCCAATGTCTATCATGTATACCCGGATTACAAATTGTCTCCAATACGGGTAAATACTTTTTAAAATTATCTACTTTACCACGTACAATTTCTGCTACTCTTTTTGATCCAGGATAGTCTTGAAGAATTCTAGCTAATTTATATAGGTTTTCCCACATATTATCCACCATTTCCTTTATTTCCTTAGCATTCAAATCATGAAATGGCCCTATAATATTTATTAAATTATGTTCTATTAAGAATATATTAATTCAAATTTTTACATATATATCTCTAGGATGTATTATATTTTACCATTGAACCATATTTCATAATAGTTCTGGAAATCATGAACAATGTGCCACAAACGGTCAAATTGTTCAGTAGCCGCAACCATTGAGTGAAGTTGAATATATGGCGTAACTTCAACATCCAACAGTTTTTCAGTGTGATTTATACTCTGAATTATTTAATGTCATTATTATTTTAATTCTAATATAAATAAGTACTTAATCTAATAGATGTATAGACAAATAATATATTTATATGCAATGGTTAATTATTATTTAACTCGGCAGTTGATATTTTGATAATGTTATTAACAGAGTTCATAAAGTTAAAACATTGTTTAATAAAAATACAAAATTATAATAACATACCTATATAAGCATGGAATATATATAACCTATTACCTATTAAACACTGATTCAGTTCTAAATTTATTTTAATTTTGTTAAACTCATTATAATTATATTATTGTTTAATTGTTTAAGTATAATACATTAATACCTACATATACAAATTAAGTTAGATACCTTTGCAGCAGCAATATCTTCTTTGAGAAAATTAGTAAGGCGTTCAACTTCTTCGGTGGCAGCTATGATTTCATCATTAGTCAATATTGGTGGGTCTTTTTTTTTTAAATTGTCCAGCAATTTGAAATGATTTTTAAGACTATACRTATAAAAATAGAAACATTTAATATTGAACTATTTTTTATCAATTTTAACATACTCAAATTCAAATTCAGTTTTTTTAGATTTCAACTGGCCTTCAACTACCCCTTTTTTTTGAATAACTCTACTAGTGGCTAAATCTAAAAATTGTTCAATCTCTTGAGGCCATCGAAATACTCGCGATTGTAAATGAATATCATCAACTAGGTATTAACGTTTAGTCGCTTTAAAATAAAATATCATGAAATAAAATGGAACATTATATTATTACTGTTGAATTCCGTGTATTCAAAAAGAAACATTATGTAATCTCCAACAGTCCTCAGTTGAGCTTTCATTTTCGATAAAGTCGAATCCCGACATAGTGTTACATAATTACTAAGTTCTACTAAATCTTCAGTTGTATCAGGCATTTCCGAGGACTTGGTAGACATTACCTCAAATGCACTATTTATTCTGAAAAAATTTTACCTATGATTATTCATACTTATAATATAAAATAATATATAATATATAATTTAGTATTTGAAAATATTTGCGTATTATTAATTACTCARAAATATTTTGCTGTGTTAAATTCATAAAATATTCAAGAATCCTGTTCTTCAAACTCTTAACTATATTTTTTAAATTTGTATTAATCTCAGATATATCTAATTTCATTAAATTCAATTCCACTCGATCTCTAAGTTTAAGAATATCTTCATTTATAGTCACGTACTTGATGACCCATTCGTTAAATTCCTGAAAGATATAGGTAGTATGATGATTAATGTTATAAAATATTTACTCTTCAAATTATATTTTGACATACACTTAATGATGGAAATGGGTCACTTGCAAAAATTGTATCTAATGCTTTAGTTTCTGTGCCATTTATCAAATAGTAGTAGGTTTTATAATATGTTATGTAAGTTTCTGGACCTGGAAAATTATTTTCTAATATCTTACCAACTTCAAACAACATTTTTTGAACTTCCTCCTCAGATTCATGAATATTTCTTAACACCATTGTAGAATCACCTTTAAATTCTAGGAACATTTTTGAAATAATTTATATAAATTTTTTAGTTTATAATTGATTTGAATAATAGTAAGTAATAAGTATTTAATGTTTATATTATTTTACTTTTTATTAGCAATTGTTCAACTCTTGGAATGTCTTCTACTGTTTTAATTATTTTTCGTGGGATTGACAGTAAAAGATTTAAACATTCTTCACGTGTAGGTTCAAAGGATATTTGAATTGAATTTGGGTTTGGAACTGCTCGAAGAATGAAAAACGGTAGACTTATAAACATGTTATCTTTAAATTCAGGATCTATTACATTTCCATTCTAAAAATTAAGTTTTAAAACATTTTGTTATATATGTATATATTTTAACAAACTTTAAGTGTATTTAACACAAATTTTACACATTTACCTAATACCTATACGCTTATATTTATATTGTTATGGTTATAGAAAATTTAATTAAATATTATAAATAMATTTCTAAACTCAAACCTTGTATTTAAGTATTTCCTTCATGAAATGCTTCAAAGACTTAAACACAATTTGTCTCAATTGCCTGGACATAGTAGCTGCAACACAGTCAAAAAACTTTTGAATTTGATACTTTGATGCTTTCATATTGTGCGTTGGTAATAAATCTTGGTAGTTATCTTTTGTTTCCATATATAACTCAGCACATTCTACAATCCACCTTTTTAATTACAAATTATACATATTTTATATATCTAAACATTAATGATATAATTAGGTATAACTATATAAGTATAGTATATGTGATATAAACATATAGATTGKTTTTTTTAACGTAAGACGGTTAAATTATCAGTACATTGTCTTTATGTTTGTACATATACATAAGTTTTATTTTATATTAAGTATAATTTAAATACACTCAGAAACAAAAATGTACCTATTACTTGTTTTCTATTTATTATAGTAACTAGTAAGTAATCATTTTCAAGTTTATGATAACCCTATTTTGTATTCCTATTTCCTATCATATGTTTAGTAGGAACCTATTCTATTTATTTTTATGTAGGTAGGTACCGTAAAATGAGGTGAATTGCAACGATTTTTGTGTTTTACCCAACTTTGATCTACATTTATAATACCGTTAAGGAAAACTCTTTTTTAGAATTGTAGTTACTTTATTTATCTTTATAAGTTATAACTTATAAGTATAGTTCAGAAATATAACTCATAAATTTTTTTTTCTATATATTTTTTATGACTTTGTTGCAATTCATCTTTGACAAGGGCGAATTGAAACATTAGATTAAAAATCATGTTTTATTCATTTAAAACAATTTATGGGTGAATAATTGWAACCACAGAGTAATAATAATATTGAAACACTAAAATGAGTAAATTGATAAGCTTGAAGAAAATATTTTGCTTTGGAGGTAGAAATAATCCGATCACGATGTTTTTTTTTAAATAGGTAACATTCATCACAATGAATCTATATCTATGACAYGGGTTAAGTACTTTAAGTATCAAGATTAAACTATATAACAATTATTTTTCTGATATTTTCAAATTTGAAAGATCTTAGACGATMCGATAATAGGTATGTTTTATAAATTGAAAACGACCGCCCCACGTTCAAAGTTGATCGGTACTACTTAAATTTAACAATGTCGTCAGTTTCTATCATAAACACTGTGTCGCTGGTTTATAAATATCTAATCTTCTACATTTTAGCTCTATGAGTGTGTTACTCCATAAACACGATAATAATATCGATGATTTTTTTTTTAAAGTTGAATTATACCAAATTAATTTTGATAAATTATAATAATATGGCCAATTTTTAATATTATACTCATAATTTATACTAGATATTAAACTAAATAATCAATATATGCATTTTATGCTCAAAAATATCAAATATGCAAAAAAATGCAAATTAAKTTCACATATTAGTAATCTAGACTTCATGAATCAAATGTATATTATTCTCAAGTATAATTTTGGATGCGCGAAAAATATATGCAAATTTATAAACATCCGAGTTTTACTTTTAGTAGGATATTAAAAAAATTCTCTAAAAGCTGAAAGAATATTTGTTACCTTTTGATTATTTTTAAATATCATAGATTAATTTAAAAAACGTCTTACATTAAAAATATTTTTATCATCTACAATGTAGATTCTACATAGGTATATAATTTTAGAAACTAAGTGTTAGTCAAATCCCATACTCTTTTACTAATTTGTGTCGAAATTTTTCACACGATTTATCCAAAAACTCTTGTAAAGAACTTGGTTTTATAGGTATACCAACTTTTTTTAAATTTTTAATTGGAAAAATATAACCTTTGGAATACCTTTGAAAAAAACATATTAACAATAAAATATGTTTGAATAAAAAAGACGTCCAATTTGCTTACTTTTTCCATACATTATTCAACATTAAAATAGATTCACTAAATATGTATAAATTATGCCTTAAATGCTCTCTTTGAATAATTGCTGTTTGATGCCATGGAATCGGACCTCTAATTTGCATTGAAGAATAATCTGATCTGTAATAATTTTTTATTCCAATTCTTTTTAACTCATCTGGATCCATTAATATATAATCGAGGATTATTTTCTTGCAAGCAAAATCATAATTTTGTCGAACATCAGTTTCCAAAAATGTCATTAAAAAATGATACCTATAAAAATTATTTATCAAGTATTTTAATAATATCATATTATTAAATTAAACATAAAACTGTTTAAATCCTTAAATATTTACTGTAGGTTTAACTAATTAAGAGCATCTATATAAAGCGTTAAATGCTTACATATATGCAGGGTGATTCATCAAGCATTCCCAACCCTTTTTTTCTTTAATAATGAAGTTATTCAAAATCTGATTTTTAGAATCTTTAAATATACTCAAAGACCATATTTTCAAATTCTTGAACATTTTTGTACTACTTGAGAAGTGTCCAGGTAGCGATACAAACTTTTCTTTTCAAATGAGAAGCCCCTTTTTTACTATAAATTATTTAACGGATAATTTTTTTGATAATTTTGATTTCGATGCATCAAAATTCGAACGAATTTAATTTCAATCGACGTAGTCTTAATTAGCCTCATTGGTGCAACTACGGGGTGCGTTAGGTCTTAAGCACCCTAAAAAATTTGTATAAAAACTTAGATCCCATTCAGTCACAAAAAAAAATCTGAAGTTTAAGCATCTCTTTGTTCGCTATTTGCGCCAATGACTAGCTTACACATTTTATTGCAATGGCTTCGACTTCAAGTTAAAAAATTAATGCATTATAGATCATGTGCGTACATGATGCAAATATGCAATTTCAAAACAAAGTGCATCGTAAAAAATGGAGGTATTAAAAATATTGACATAATTTGTGTAGTTCAAAATGTTATGGTTCATGAACATTTGTTTTGCTTCAATGACTGAAATGACTGATACTAAAACTTAATTATAAATTATAATATATAATTTTCGTGATATTTTTTTTAGATGGTTATTTATATATATAAAATAATATTTCTAAATTAACTTTATACAAAGTAATGCCCGATAGTCCTACATGCATGTGAAACTTGGACTACAACAAAAGCAGACGAACAGAACCTAGCGAGATTTGAGAGAAAGGTTTGCTACAAATGTTTAGTCCCAGAAGAAACCAAAACATGGTAGAATATAAGCGAAGAAAAAACAAASAAGTAATAAGCATGTTAGACAGTGTCGGACGGTACTTAAGGGCCCCTAAAAATGTTATTTCATAAAATGATAAAAAATGCTTATAAGTAGTGAAATATTATATTTTTACGTTTTGAGTAATATCGAGGRTCCGGATGCGTTCGCGGCCTATAGCGACCATGGCCAGGCCGACACTGATGTCAGAGGATTTAGACATAATCACTACAATTCAAAATAAAATGATAAGCTGGCAGGGTACATAACAGGGCCCCGAACAAATAAACAATAATTTGTCTTTTTTATATATTAGTATAGAATACTGAGTAAATACAAGAAAGTACATATTATATGTAGTAAAATAATTTATGATTTTTTTTTTTAAAAAAATCATATTTTTTCATTCATACAAATACAATCATTAATCATTTATAAGTTAATGGTATAAGCTTACTTTTTTAACAGATWCGGTTTAACACGATTTTTCTTTATGTTTTCCAACACTTGTTCTGGAAACGGATTATAAAAATCAATAGTTATACCCTGATAAACAAAATACAATAGTTAAATTAAGTGAGCAAATACAATATARGCACAATATACAAATATTATTTTCGACATTTAAATATTTTATCCATTATTTAAAAATTCAAATGCAAAAATTCAAAAAAACCTTTTTTTATGGTACGTTTATAAAATATACTTAAAATGTAAAAAATGAATATATTGATTATTATAACTGCCAACGCCCGAGAGGGATTGAGAGTGCAGCAATGTTAGTTATTAATAGAACATTATTGAATGGTATTATAGCTAGATGTAATTTTTTAACTTTTTAAAAGATATATCATTTCATACCAAAATTACTATTCATAATACGTGTATTACTAAATTTTAATATACGACCATTTATTGAGTTGTTTAAGACGAAATTACGTACACGATAATTATTATTATAAAAACCGTTAGTATAACGAGTGTTTATTTCTGGTWGGTAAACTAAAATGAATTTTATTTGACAGTCAGGGCATACTTTTTACTTAGGGATCCCAGATTTATTTTTTTTAAATACGGGACATTTTTTAAAAATCATATCTATATATACTTCAATACTTGTAATTTGCATTTGCATTGGTGTTAATTTGGGAAGGGGGAGAGGGGACTTATGTTAGCAATTAACATATTTTACATATTAAATTTGAGCCATTTGGCCAAGAAGTAACATTTAATTTTACTCAGTAATATACTATAAAATAAAGTTAAACACAATATTAAACAGTAGAAACAAATATAAATTA